TGTATCATCATTACACTGTAATGTTTCTCAGTCTTTTAATGAAAAGCTCTATATTTATATTCCCCTTACCCACTTCAGAATACTGATGCCATATCATGAGCACTGACATTCAGAACTACTGGGAAACATCTAGACTGCAGGAGATTTGATGCACTGCTAAGCATTCAACTCTGAAGGCTGTAATCATGTGACCTGCACTTTCTTTCAACTTTTCAACTGTTTGACTTGCCCATACATATTTGGGCATATAGCCTACTATTGGCCAACCACCACTTCTGTGACTTCCAGGTTATCTGGAGATGCTATTGTGCTGTGAGGACCATTCTGGTATTCATGCAGTATCATGACATGTTACAATAGGGCTGACATAGGGGCATCCAGCGATCATGTGTCCTTTTGTTCCAGCGGTATTCTCACTGTGTGATGTCACCATGAGTCCATAAGACATCCACTATCTCTTTTGACAACCTAGTGATAAAAAGATCAACATGTGGTGAATCAGCTTTGAGATGTCCGGTTTGGTGATGCATATGACCAGCTATACTGTCTCCTTGTCTTCCATCACTCCTTAAAGCCTCTGAGACTATTAAATAAGCTCAGTGCTGCAGGAGATCTAGCAAACATAAAATATTGAGAGTATGCCTGAATTATTTGATAGTTCTGGTGGTGAAAGCTGGAATATTGCTGCATCCCTCCAGAGAGGAAGCAGTTCTTTGCTGAGGAACCTTGGTCCTGTTTATATGCACCGCTTTGTGGTACTGCAAGATTTCTGACTTGAAATGTTATTATTACTAATTAACTTATTATATAGTTAGCATGATGTTTGCATCGCATCTTATGTGGAACTGAATCATTGATTATCAAGATTGGGAAAGTTCATTGCACACTGAGAGTAACTTCAACTTGAGCTGCCTGGAATTATGCCTCTATATCTCTGTGATTTAACTGTTTAATCAGTTTATATAGAGATGAATAAAGTGTTGAATAAATTCTAGGTATAAAGCTGCCAAAAGGAATGATTACCTCATAATACACTGTGATAGCCATTGGTAATTTTGAGATATGTGTATATTCTCTCCTGATTTTGGATGAAAACATTTATTAAAGTTTACTTTAGGTTAACTTCTAATTTAGGATTGGAAACTGGGCCTATGTTTGAAATTTAGCATAATATTTACAATTGCCGTAGTATAACATGCACACACCAGTTGGTCGTATGCTAGAATTCCAGTTGGAGCACAGCTTTTGTCTCCCTCTACTGGTCAACCTCTGCCATTACCTCAATCTCTAGTACACACTGTACCCTCTGGCATAAAAATGAGCAAATCACAACTATTTATTTATTTATTTTATTTTTTACCAAGATGCTTTTTTCTTAAGCCTATGTCAAGTTCAGTTATGCTTACAATGAGAATTTTAGAAGATGCACATAATATGATCTGCTGGAGTATTGTGTTCGTGATATGTTAACACCATTATTAGCAGATGTGATTATAGATCTGTTTCTTAATCACTCTCCTCTCTGACAGACTATTAGCTGTCCTTTCAGTTCAGGTTAGCTTTGTTTGAACAGCATTGTGGGTTGTCACGCTCACAGCAGTGTCCGTGGCTGGAACCCAGCAGTGCTGTTCTGTGCCAGACAAGCCTGGCTGTCTCCATGCAGACAAATTCACCCTCATGTCTTCTGTCTCCTTTAGCTTTTCACATTGTTACAACTCATTTATTGTAGCTGTTTACTTGTTTACTAGATACAGTGGGTACGGAAAGTATTCAGACCCCCTTAAATTTTTCACTCTTTGTTATATTGCAGCCATTTGCTAAAATCATTTAAGTTATTTTTTTTTCCTCATTAATGTACACACAGCACCCCATATTGACAGAAAAACACAGAATTGTTGACATTTTTGCAGATTTAAAGGGGGTCTGAATACTTTCCGTACCCACTGTATTTTGCATCTGCAGATTCTTATGCTGATTATTTCATTTACTGCATTTTAAAGTTATAGCTGGAATTTGCAATTACCCCTGTCTCAGTAGCATTAATAAAAAACGTTCAATAAGATTAAATTAACAGAGATGCATTATATATATTTTTTCCACCATCTAGAGGAGAGTTTCAAATATAAAAGACTAGGATGTGGAAAACCCATTCTTAGTTTTTTAAAACCCCCGAGAGAAACATAAGCTTGATGATACAGCGTTCCACCTAATTTCCTCTGCAGACTTTTCAGAAATAAATCAGCATTTTATTTTCCCATACCACAAAATAAATGGGTTTTTATATGTGATAATAGACTTCCTGTGCATATGTGGGTCTATGTGAAAGAGAAGGAAATATGAGGCTTCGGTCAGGATTTTGTGCACGTTGCCAGTGTGTGCGTTGTCTAGCACATGGGAGCATATGTCTAGAGAGCACTGTCACCATGGCAACAGTGTACTTGCCAGATATGTGAAAACATCATTGTATGGGCTGAAATGCTCGTCAACTGATAATTATCTCACCCAATGTCATTAACACACTGAAAGCTGTAAAATTAGACTGGAAGTCTTTTGAAATTCACACTACTTGCCATCTGTATATATCGCAGCACTTGTAAGAAGCATACTGTTTGTATTGCTCTAATTCTCTACCTGTATCAAATTAGAGCATTGTATCCCAATGATTTTGGGTTTGACCTTTACTTATTGATTATTGTAACCTCTCATTCATTCATTCCCAGTATATCCACTTACACCTTTAATGAAAAGCCATTGTTACTAATTTCTCATAGAGTAGTTGATGCAGTGCAGAGGGGCTTTTGCCATTTAGCGTGCATTTAAGTATTTTAAATAAAATTATACAATCAGCAAGCATGTATGAGCTTTGTATGTGTTTGTCAGGAAAGATATTGAGTACTTCCTTCCATTCATTCTGCTGAGGTTAGCAGTGCAATGAAGAGAAAATCTCTTATTTTGCTAATAAACTGCTGGGTATTTCATGTCAGTCGTCACATTAGCAGGCATATGTCATTTTTGGCATCTTTTTATTTTAAATACACTGTAGATACAGTATTTAAATTAAATAACTGTTGATTGACTGTAAACATTTGACTTGGCACCATTGGAAGTCCACTACCATTTTGACATGCTGACAAATGTTACTCATGTTTGAAAGTGTACACTATTCAGATTCAGAATCATACGATACAATACGATACAACTTTATTGTCAGGCAAAGTCTGAAATTTGTCTTGTGTTACAGCAGGTTCACTCACAATTACTTTTATCATGTAGACAAAAGACAGACAGGACCCTTACAAAAACATTTTCAAAGCTACGGTAAAAATTACATTTTTGTGTAAATTATTCAGGTCTAGATTAAAGAATACTTTAATCAAATTTGATTCATTAATTTCTATGGAAGACACCAGATGGCTAGTTTATGCTGATTTGCTCCTGGTCTAGATTGTGTTGCTGGTTAAGATGCCTGGTTAGCATCCCATGCTGAGGACTAGCATCCAAAACACATGCAGGTTTTTTTTAGCAGGGAATGGGTGTGTTCACTGCACTGAAAGCATCAGTACATTCATCAGAGTTTGATGCAGCAAAACTGAGCATGCGACTCCAGCCAAGTCCTTGCTGTAGATACTAATAGTGAAAACATGAGTTCAAACGAAGAAAACCATGATGGAATTACCATAAAAATCCTGTTTGGTTCTATACTTGCAATACGGCTGGGTATTTCAGCTCAGATGGAGAGAAAGAAATAAATAAGATGGAGGAATAATGGAAAAAAACATAGATTATATAAAAACAGATTTTCTTTACATTACAGCAGCCCGAGTGGGAAGTCTACTTCTGTCCCCACCGTGGGGGAGGGAAATGTGCCTGAGGATGTGTTAAAGGGAGAGAGAGAGCCAAGCAGTGAGTCTGCAAGTGGCGAGTATCTGCAATGGGTTTCATTTGGATAAAGCCCACCTTCAGCGATAGATCGAAGAGAGAGAGAGCGTACGATATTGAAAAAGAGGGAGGGATGGAGAGAAGGGAGAAGGGGACGTAGCACACAAAGGGACAGAATCAAAGCTTCAGATTTCAGGAATTGCCATTGGGAATAGGGAAAAGGTGTACGAGTGACCGTGAGGCTGTGATCGGTGGCAGATATGGCAGTGAGCACGTGGCAGGCTCTGTCTCCGCTGCAGTGGGCTCGCTGGGGCTGGGACACACTGCTGGGAGGGACATCTGGAGAGGATGGGGCAGACCCAGCCCTGGGGCTCCTCCGGCACCTCAGCTGGACCTCCAGGCATGATTACATGATCCAAGGCAGGCAGAGGTGAGCGTGGGATAACAGCAGAGAAAGGACAGGGACTAATGCAGTGAGACTGGGTGGGGGTCTGCACATCTGTCTGAGGCTGCGCCTTTGTTGCTGTATTTGGACTGGTGCTGTATGTTCGCCTGCGCTATCACATATTGTGTCAGATTTGTGTATGACAGTATATGCTGATGCCAAGACTGAAAAACGTTCACAAACCAACATTTTGTTGTATTGACTTAAAAAGCAAAATGGGCATCATCAGTCTTGACTGAAATGACAAATGTGTTAATGTGTGAAAATAGCACGGCCACTGTGATACTCAGCAGTTAAAAAAATAGACTCCATGGCTGAGCATAATATGTGTTTGAGCTAGCTGCAGGTTCAGCGCTTTAATTTCCATCTGTAATAATCCGCCAGGGCCTACTAGGCTGATGCAGGCATTTGTTTATAAGGTCTGGCACACGATGAATGATTGTTTAATATACTTAAGGTGTATCTGAATGTATTTGATCCTGTAGTGTAAATATGAGCTGTGATGTGTTGCCTCATAAATGGATGTTGTTGTTTGCTGTATCAGCGCTGGATTTGATATGCAGCTTGGTTGTATGGAAACAAAACAGACTTGATGTTTATACTTCAATGAGATTATTAAATCAACTCTTAATTCAGTATATTCAGACCTTCTTCTGTCTCACTCTTTCTTCTGCAGGAGTTCAGACTCAGATGGAGCGTTTGAAACCCCTGAGTCCACCACCCCTGTGAAGTCTGCTTCCCCACCAGTGCCCCCAACAGAGCCCCCCTGCACCAACTCAGAGGCATTGTCCCAAGAACACACAGGTACGTTTAGATCTCCATTCCATCGCAGTTCACACACAGATGGCCTTATGTGGAGTCAAATTGTTTTATTTATCATTTGAATAGCTTCAGGAGGGTTTACTGGACTTTGAAATGCTTAAGATTACAGGACATTGACAAATAGTGACACTGTGTCTTGTTTTGAGCAAATTTTTAAATATTTAATATAAAGTAAAAAATGGACCATATATTAAATGACAATAAATAGTAAGTGCATGCTATAGCAGATAGCACAGAGCAACAGTAAACACTAAACCTGAAAACAGAATTTACTATTAACTATTTTTAACTCTGAAACCTAGGAAATGTTATGGAAAACTAAGTAGCTATATCTAGTTATTTAGTATCAAAGTATCTATGTTATATGCAAAGGTTAGATGTCAGTTTGTGCTTCTAGGTCTAGGTTGAGGTCTAATTAAAATCTTTATTCAATAGTTTTGTTTCTCCTCATGTATTTTTTTTTAACCAGTATTCTTGTTAGAAAAAAAAAACAAGAAAGGGCTGCCTTTTCACTGTGAGAGTACTGTGGTCTTTGTTATCAAACACTGCACTTGTACTCCCTCTAGCGGATATACAGTGTATTGCTACTGATTTTTTTTCAAGAAAGGTCTAGAAATAAATCAAAACTAACACAAGATACTAGTACTTTTTGAACTCTATCCTTCTTCAGTTCTTCAGTTGTTATTAACATAAAATAATATCAATGCATCTGCGAGTACTATCCTGTGATCTGCTTGAAAGCATGATTTGTTTTCAAATGCATAGTAACATGTTATTCTCTATCTTCACAGCTTCCATTGCTGACATCTCTGCCAGCGAAGCTCAAGACCCAAATCAGCTTCAATCTCCCAGTCGCTCTCAATCTACAGTCTTTGATGAGGACAAACCAATAGCTGCTAGTGGCACCTACAACCTAGAATACTTAATTGCTGATGACCCCGGACCATCAAGTCGAGCGCCTCTCACCCGCTCTCTAAGCCTACAGTCTGGTGAGTTAGAGAGCCCAGGAGACAAATCCTCGGGAGGAACCTCCGACAAACCCATTCACCCACGAGCAGAGTCTTTCAGCATAGGAACAGAAAGTGCTCCGGGAACTCTTCGTAAAGTGAAGAAGCCACGTCCAGGTTCCCTAAAGAAGAAACCTCTTTCCCGGCAGAACTCAAACCCAGAGCATACCTCTCCCAAAACAGTCTCCTCTAATAGCACACCAGAGGAGAAAAAGAGAGGTAAACCACAGCCTGAAAGCCCCTTGCAAACTCAAGAGAGGCCTAGCTCCTCTCCCAGCCCTAGTCCTAGTCCTGCTGGTACCCTACGGAGGAATAGGATAAAGTCTCAAGTTGAAAGTCCTCCACCTTTGGTTGAGGAGGTCACTGCCAGCTCAATATCAACTCAACTCCAACTGGTTCTTCCTGATCCAGTACCCAAGGCTCCAACTGTTCCAGACGAGGAGTCTCCTATCCCTCCCAGTGCCTCCTACAAATGGGATCCGGACAACTTTGAGAATATTGACCCATTCCGTACAGGAGGCAGTAAAGTTGCCAACTCGCCGGTCTTGGGCAGGAAAGCCGACTTTACATCGGTTTCAGACACTCCTGTTGCTGTAGAGGAGCCACGTGCCTCTTCCCCTGCTAAAGAGCAACCCATCAACATTGAGGAACAGCCAATCACCAAGCGCCAACCAGTCAGACTGGAGTTTGACTATTCAGAGGACAGTGGAGAGGCGCCACGCAATACTCCTCCTCCTAAAAACCTAGGCAAGAAACCAGGGGCCAAGATGCCTATCCGAAAGCCCAAACTGGGGATTAAGAAGGCCCCTCCACCACAGACAGAGCAGCTAGACAATGCACCTGTCCCTGCACTTTCAAATGACATTGATGATATCCCGATCCCCAAGGGGTTAAATAACTTTGATCCCAACAAGTGGGATGACCCTAACTTTAATCCATTTTCTTCAAACACTGGTGTCCCCAACTCTCCTCGCCTGTCTAGAGGATCTTACAACTTTGATCCTGGCTCCTTTGATGGCTCAATCGATCCCTTCAACTCAACCAATAAGATGGGAAACTCACCTCCGAAAGCTGCAACTTTTGACAAATCCAACGACACAGAGAATGACAATGATAACATTGTTGAGTTGGAGGATCACAACCAGAACAAACCTGCCAAAAACAAGAAGAAGCCTCTCAAATCGTAAGTCTGATTTAATTTAATTTCAAAGTACATCATCGTGCCGGTCATCCATTGTAGTGCATGGTTTCTAATTGTTGTACATTTTCTTGTGTATATTTCTAAATGGTCAGAAACATGTGTGTATGTAAGTGGGTGTTAGTTCTTGTTTGTTAGCCTCTGTCAGTCACATGTCTGTTGATCTCATGTATCACAGGAAGTCCAGCAATGTCTCTTCTCTGTGTTGTTTCTTGTAAGTAGAGAGATGGTGGAAAAATCAGCATCAGTAATAATATAGCTTAACATAAAATGTCACTTTAACATGTTTTAACTCATGAGCTCATTGTCAGTTGTTTTATCATTCTATTTAATACATATGACTGATTTCTCGTCACATCATTCCACGTCACCTCCATCTTCCTCGGCTTCACGTTTGATATTCTCCAATGAGAATGTGTTGCCATCTAGTGGACCCTCAAACAAGTGCAGTCGATTCAGTCATGCAAATGCACACGGGGTAGAAACTTTAGGCAAGAAAACATTGTATGATTGCATTACTATGTGCATGTGATCCAAGTTGAGCTTTGTTGACTATGCTTTTTTCAATGAATCAGATGTGAAGATCGATAGTTTATCTCTAAAATCTCTGAATGAATTCCTAATCCAGACATTTTTATGAGACTCATTTCAGAAATCTTACCTCCTTAGGGTGGCCTAGTGGATAATAAACATTGCAGGTTTTATTGCTAGAAAGCAGAAACTGTGACCTGGAATGTTGACAAGGAAATTTTTATTGTGCCTATGAGCAAGACATTATTTTCCCTCTCTAAGACCCCCTGCACACCCTAATTAATTAATACAGCTATTAAGGAGCAGTTTTAAGTAATATTACTTTCAAACTGGGATTACTTTGTACTGGATCATTTGCTTCCGTTTCGGATTAATCCATGTAATATATTTTGCTCAGCTGCAAACTTTCCTCTATAGTTCTCACACAATTTAAGGCTTTCAATGTTATTTTTTTCAACACAAATGTCTGTTCAGATTTGACATGAGGAGTAAAGCAGTACTCCTGAAATATTTACATCACACTTAAACTATGAAATGTGCCAACAACAGCAACAGAATAGGATTTGAAATGCTTCTGTTATGTGAGGCATCTGTCACTGAGCAATTTAACAGGGGCTACAGGGATTAAAACGAACTGGGTCAGGGCAGAGACTGTGGAGTATTAAGGATATTTTTGTTTTTATTTTCTAAACCACAAATCTTTACTGCATAATCACCGTACTTTTGCGAAACATATTTCCAAATAATCTCTAGTATCTGTTGGTCTTAATTTCTTGCCATGGTTCCATTCGTAAAGACTGCATTAGCAAAAAAGTATGTTTACAATAAAAAAACACATTTGCACAAGAAAACTACAAACTGAAAAACATACTGTATATTTGATATATCCCACTAATAGAAGCATCAATCATGATGTAAACCCTGAATAATCCATTATATTGCACACTAGTAAGATCTTAACTCATGAGATTTAATCCTTAATAATAAGATCCATCGTGCCTCTTCCCCTGCTAAAGAGCAACCCATCAACATTGAGGAACAGCCAATCACCAAGCGCCAACCAGTCAGACTGGAGTTTGACTATTCAGAGGACAGTGGAGAGGCGCCACGCAATACTCCTCCTCCTAAAAACCTAGGCAAGAAACCAGGGGCCAAGATGCCTATCCGAAAGCCCAAACTGGGGATTAAGAAGGCCCCTCCACCACAGACAGAGCAGCTAGACAATGCACCTGTCCCTGCACTTTCAAATGACATTGATGATATCCCGATCCCCAAGGGGTTAAATAACTTTGATCCCAACAAGTGGGATGACCCTAACTTTAATCCATTTTCTTCAAACACTGGTGTCCCCAACTCTCCTCGCCTGTCTAGAGGATCTTACAACTTTGATCCTGGCTCCTTTGATGGCTCAATCGATCCCTTCAACTCAACCAATAAGATGGGAAACTCACCTCCGAAAGCTGCAACTTTTGACAAATCCAACGACACCGAGAATGACAATGATAACATTGTTGAGTTGGAGGATCACAACCAGAACAAACCTGCCAAAAACAAGAAGAAGCCTCTCAAATCGTAAGTCTGATTTAATTTAATTTCAAAGTACATCATCGTGCCGGTCATCCATTGTAGTGCATGGTTTCTAATTGTTGTACATTTTCTTGTGTATATTTCTAAATGGTCAGAAACATGTGTGTATGTAAGTGGGTGTTAGTTCTTGTTTGTTAGCCTCTGTCAGTCACATGTCTGTTGATCTCATGTATCACAGGAAGTCCAGCAATGTCTCTTCTCTGTGTTGTTTCTTGTAAGTAGAGAGATGGTGGAAAAATCAGCATCAGTAATAATATAGCTTAACATAAAATGTCACTTTAACATGTTTTAACTCATGAGCTCATTGTCAGTTGTTTTATCATTCTATTTAATACATATGACTGATTTCTCGTCACATCATTCCACGTCACCTCCATCTTCCTCGGCTTCACGTTTGATATTCTCCAATGAGAATGTGTTGCCATCTAGTGGACCCTCAAACAAGTGCAGTCGATTCAGTCATGCAAATGCACACGGGGTAGAAACTTTAGGCAAGAAAACATTGTATGATTGCATTACTATGTGCATGTGATCCAAGTTGAGCTTTGTTGACTATGCTTTTTTCAATGAATCAGATGTGAAGATCGATAGTTTATCTCTAAAATCTCTGAATGAATTCCTAATCCAGACATTTTTATGAGACTCATTTCAGAAATCTTACCTCCTTAGGGTGGCCTAGTGGATAATAAACATTGCAGGTTTTATTGCTAGAAAGCAGAAACTGTGACCTGGAATGTTGACAAGGAAATTTTTATTGTGCCTATGAGCAAGACATTATTTTCCCTCTCTAAGACCCCCTGCACACCCTAATTAATTAATACAGCTATTAAGGAGCAGTTTTAAGTAATATTACTTTCAAACTGGGATTACTTTGTACTGGATCATTTGCTTCCGTTTCGGATTAATCCATGTAATATATTTTGCTCAGCTGCAAACTTTCCTCTATAGTTCTCACACAATTTAAGGCTTTCAATGTTATTTTTTTCAACACAAATGTCTGTTCAGATTTGACATGAGGAGTAAAGCAGTACTCCTGAAATATTTACATCACACTTAAACTATGAAATGTGCCAACAACAGCAACAGAATAGGATTTGAAATGCTTCTGTTATGTGAGGCATCTGTCACTGAGCAATTTAACAGGGGCTACAGGGATTAAAACGAACTGGGTCAGGGCAGAGACTGTGGAGTATTAAGGATATTTTTGTTTTTATTTTCTAAACCACAAATCTTTACTGCATAATCACCGTACTTTTGCGAAACATATTTCCAAATAATCTCTAGTATCTGTTGGTCTTAATTTCTTGCCATGGTTCCATTCGTAAAGACTGCATTAGCAAAAAAGTATGTTTACAATAAAAAAACACATTTGCACAAGAAAACTACAAACTGAAAAACATACTGTATATTTGATATATCCCACTAATAGAAGCATCAATCATGATGTAAACCCTGAATAATCCATTATATTGCACACTAGTAAGATCTTAACTCATGAGATTTAATCCTTAATAATAAGATCCATCTGTAAACCCTGAATAATCCATTATATTGCACACTAGTAAGATCTTAACTCATGAGATTTAATCCTTAATAATAAGATCCATCTGTAAACCCTGAATAATCCATTATATTGCACACTAGTAAGATCTTAACTCATGAGATTTAATCCTTAATAATAAGATCCATCATTTATTGTGAGAATTACAATATATTTGCATTGTCAAAAGGTTCTTTAATACCTTTATCAGATCAACAAAACAGGTATGTATTATTTAACAATTTTTTTTTTATTCAGTAGAACATTATCTGTACAGAATCTGTCAAGAAACTGCTGTGTATTGTAAATATGGTTGGACAAAAAGAATGGTTGGATGTCGTTTGTTCTACATTGATACTTTAAAAAGTAAACACAAATCTCTGTCATGTTTTCTTAAACAGTAACACTTTTAGAGTGAAGAAATCACCAAAGAGGACTCAGATTACTGAGCCATCTGCTCAAGTAAGTTAAGACATGAGCGTACATTCACCTACACTCACACAGTCACTGCAGATGTTCATTGTGAAGATGATCTGTTTTTCTCCTTCGCTGTCACCTCATATCATAACAGTGTTGTCCTGTGTGCTCTCCACTCTCGCCCTCCACTTCACACACACATAATCACCTGCAGGAGCACTCGCCTGATGCCAATCCCGAGCCTTCACAAGATCACGCCACAGATGAGGAGAAACTGGCTTCCTCCACAAATCAGAAATGGACTAGACATGACGTAGCGGTGGAGCTGACCTCTGACCCCCAAGATCTCCCACAGCCGACTGACTTTACAGCTTTTGTCAGTGAGAACAGTTTACCAGCACAGAGTGATGGTGAGAGAGTGGAGGAGTCTCTTATTATGTTACTACATTATCTCTAATCACGAGCCTTGATTTTTCTGTCCAAAATAAGAGTAATGGTCCTAAAAATAAAACCTTTTTTTTTTTTCCTGTTGATTTTGGGGTAAAATGGTTTTGTGAGATTCACCCATCAGATAATTTCCCACATGATACAAGTTTGCCTACAACCCCAAATGACCCAAAGCTGACCCGTTTTATTAGCCTTTGACCTTCAGGGAACCATTCGCACCCTAGGGCAGTTTCTGCCTGAAACTAACTGGGTCAGTAGTACAGAGGCAGATGAATTATAGAGCCACTCTCATATTGGTTCTGTCAGTCTGAACCGATGATCAGCATAGAAAGAATATTCTTTGAAAGCCTTATATTATATTGAATTCCTATATAACCTTTATAAAAAATTTAACCTGTTATATCTTCTCTCATTTTCTCTATTGTCTTTTCGGCAGTTACAGACTATGAGATTGAATACATGGAAAAGATTGGCTCCTCCGCACCTGTGAGTATCTAAACTTAGGGACATTTTCTAAAAAAAAAAGCGAGTGTATGTGACAAACACCAAACTAATTTTAAATTACAGTGCTTTATTTTTTCTGAATACATGTATGTTTTTTACAGCCTCTCTCGGTGAAGAAACCATCACTTTATCTAAAGCTGGACTCTGTGACAGACAGTCCAACAAAGACTTCCAACATGCAAGATTCAGAGCCCAACTCTCCCTGCACTGGGTAAACTAAACGCACACGCGCACACACACACACACACACACACACACACACACACACACACACACACACACATACTGTATAATCATATAATATTATATGTGACATCATATATTGCTTAAAAATGCAATGAAATGACTTAATAAGAGTAGTAGTAGTAGTCTGTGTGGAAATATTTTGTGTTTAAACAGGAAGTCTGTCTGTCAGTTAGTACCTGCTGGTAGACGACATAACTGCTCCGTTATGTTGACAAAAAGTCATTTCCGTTTAGTCAGCTATTGAGCAACTGTAAAACCATGAAGATTATGTTAAAGGAATATATTTGCTAAAGGTGGATTTTGTACACCACACTCTCAGAAAAAAAGGTACAAAACTGTCACTGGGGTGGTACCCTTTCAAAAGCTACGATTATGTTCTTTTATTTAAAGTATTATTATTAAATTATTATAATTTTTATTATGTTCTTTTATCAATATGTGCCTTTAATGTATTAATATGAATCATTTAGAGGTGAATAAGTTACAAAAATGTGCCTTTTAGCTTTTCTACATTAAGGTACCATCCCAGTGACAGCATTGTACCTTTTTTCTGAGAAGGTATCATATAGATTGACTCACTTAGACTGAAAGCCATAAAATTCGATTCTCATTCAATTCAATTCATTTCAAGTTTATTTGTATAGCACTTTTCACGATACAAATCGTTGCAAAGCAACTTTACAGCAAATGAAGTTTCTACAATATTTAATAGTAGCTTATCAGTGGTGACTGTCAGTTAATGTATATATGGCAGAAATGTACGGAAAAATCAATTAAAGACGTAATCAAACAGATGATTATTATATGATGCAATCAAACTTATAGCAAAATTTGGTAGTTCTGTATGTTGTTTCAGGGTTGGCATCATCTGAGGTCCTCTGGATAATTTAGAAGTTTCATCTAGTCTTGTTGAGATATATAGTTGAGTATCATCAGCATAACAATGGAAACTAATCTAATAATATTTTCCAAGGGGCAACATGTATATTGAAAATAGCAGAGGACCTAGGACAGTGATTCTCCATGATTCTCATGGGCTCTTTAAAAATTATTTACTGTACTTTGGTGATGTATTCCATGTGTTTAATTGTGTTGGTCTGATTCTTCACAGGAGCTTTGAGGAGATGGAGGCTCAGATCTCACAGGGGAAATCACCTGTGCTGCCACCACGTGGTGCTCGTGACTCCTTGGCCTCAGAAAAAAGCAGAAAGAGAGACAGCCAGTCTCAGAGTCGAACGCAGAGCAATGAGAGAGATGGAGCGGTAAGTGCAAACCAGTCAAACCCCAAAAGTGTCAGCACCTTTAAAGGGGTCATATGATGCTGCTAAAAAGAACAGTATTTTGTGTATTTGGTGTAATGGAATGTGTTTATGCGGTTTAAAGTTAAAAAAACACATTATTTTCCACATTCTGGGATCAGCTCCAGGCATGACGAAGCAGATATCGTCCTCTTCTGGAACGCCAAACAAAGTAGTTTCGCTTTCACAACGAAGCACACAGCGTCTTTAGGACATGGCGGCGGAAACAACCAAACTACAGCGAGAATAAAAGTTACGACTTCTGTCTTTGCGTGAACATTTGGGCGGTGTTATGCAAATCTTCCCACATAGCGACGTAGATATGTGACTCCAAAGAGAAAGGAAAAATTGAAATCGCATCATATGACCCCTTTAAGGGTGTATTTATTTCATTATCTCAGATAATGTGGAGCTCGTACAGTCAAAATACAAGAAAACACCACAAATGTGTGAAGATGGGGTTATTTTTATTTTGTTACTAATTGCACAGCTTATCTGATGCATTTACAATGCTACACATTTTTGTTTTCAGTCTTAAAGCGACAGTGCATCCTAAATAAATAAATAAATTCTGTAATTATTTACTCATCCCCATGTTATTTCAAAAACATATGCTGCATATTATTTCAGTTTAACATGAAAGGAGTCATTTTGACCAATGTACTGTACACTCCTCTTTTCTATATAACTGTCTGTTTCCAAATTATAATCATAGTAAATAATGACAGATTATTTTTTTTTTTAGTGAACTCTGCTAAATGACTAAATGTGAGTGAACTCTCCCTTTAAGACAATTATTTTGCTAGGCATGCAGCTTACTCAGGGTCTCCCCACCAGAATCAGTACCGCAGAATGTTTATTCATAAGCTTCATAAACCCATCATAGAAGTATTATGATGCACTAGGCTAAATACAAGCTTGCCCTGCCTCACTGACACCCAGACACCTCCTACTCCTCTTGTCCCTCTTCTGCTCTCGGTCCCATCGCAGTCCCCCATCCAGGGCCCCATGGATCCCTCAGATCTACCCCTCTTAGACAGACTGTCTGATTCACCTGCCCCTCTCAGCTACCTGGAGCCTGATCTGGCAGAGACCAACCCCACTGCCTTCGCTCAAAAACTGCAGGTGTGTAGAGAGAATCCTACCACCAACTATCTCTTCTTCCCTGGACCTTTGCAGCTGTGTGTGTGTGTGTGTGTGTGTGTGTGTGTGTGTGTGTGTGTGAGTGCGTGTCTTCACTCAGCTGTGTTTCACTGTGTATTTGTTTGTCCCTCCAGTCTTTCATGTACCTTGTCTGCTTTGTTTTGTCTCTCATTTTTTGTTTGCCCCAGAACTGGGGGTCAGGAGATGTTAAAGGAATAGTTCAACCAAAAAGGAAAATTCTGTCATATTTATGCATCCTCAAGTTCCTAGAAGCCCTAATTCCTAGAAGTAAATAGGAACTGGGGCTGGCAAGCTCCGAAATGAGTAAAAAACACTATAATACTACACTACCATTCAAAAGTTTGGGGTCAGTATAATTTTTTAAAAAGAAATTAATACAATTATTCAGCAATGATGCATTAAATTGATCAAAAGTGATTGACTTTTACATTGTTACAAATTTAGTTTTTAATAAATGCTGTTCTTTTGAACTTTCTATTCATCAAAGAATCCTAAAAGATCATGGTTTCCACAAAAGTATTATGCAGCACAACTGTTTTTAATATTGGTAATAATAAACATATTTCTCGAAGGATCATGTGACATCCTTCAAGCCATCAGAGGAATAAATTAAGTAATATATATATATATATATATATATATATTATTAGAATAAATAAGTTAATAATATTTCTTTTTTTTGTTGCTTTTTTTTTAACACAATAAAACAATCCGAACTTGCTTTAAACGATTGACAGTAACAAATCTGACCTAATATAACACTTAACAATGACAGTCAGAGATATGATAGAAGTTAATAATATTTCACAATATACAGTAAGTGTTTTTTACTGAATTTGCGATCAAATAAATGCAGCCTTGGGGAGCACAAGAGACTTCTTTCAAAAACATTTTTAAAAATCTTAATGACTACAGATTTTTTAACTGTATAGTTTCAAGTCTTCTGAAGTCTTCTGAAATTTGATAAGTCACATGGACTACTTTTATGTTGCTATTATGGTGCTTTTTTTTTTTTTACTTTTGGTCCCCATTCCCTGTTATTACAAGGCATCTCTTTAGACATTCTGATATCTCCATTTGTGTTCCACTGTAAGACAGAATTTAAATTTTGGCTGATTTATCCATTTAAAAGTAAAAGTAATAGAAATCCTAGAAAGGGTCGATGGATCTCTCCACATACACAACGTTCACAGTAAAATGTGTATGAGTGTCTGTTTGTGTGTACAGTATTTGTAAGCTTTTTTCCCCTCAGGTTTAGTATTTGCGTGAGGCCGGTACAACTCTAACCCCTCTTTTCCTCCTTACCCCATCCCCACTTCATGGGTCACTCCCCCTTTCCTCCCCTCAACCCTCCCTTGTGGCCCAGGAGGAACTGGTGCTCGCAGCCCTGAGGATAGAGGCTCTACAGGTAGCCAAAAACATCTCTCAGAGCCCCACTTTGTCCACTGTGCCCCCTCAGGTACTGTGCTGAGCCAGCCCGCACCCGTGTGAGTGTGTGTCCAAGCACGAGTGTGTGATACCCCCTTCTGAAACGAGCCCCCTGACTGCACCCTTGGGTATGAGTATGAATACCCACCCATAAACTACCTCACCATACTGTGGACGTGACATCTCACCCTGGTTCTTTAACCCGGCTCCTGTCCCCCGATTGGTGCTCCTTTTTTCCCAATCCAACACCCTCTTGAGCAAAAGAGGTGTGTTTTTCCCAGGGCTTTGTGACAATCCTGCATGTTCGCTTGGACAGGAGATCCATAGAAACAAAGGTCAATGTGACTTGGAAATGTACGCTGTATATAGACTCTATATTATTACATCAAATATGAATGGTTTGCAGATTTCATAATTTAAATGCTTATCCTAAACAGAGTGTTTATAGCTGAATTCCTTGTCACATTCATGCTAGTTCCTGATTTCGATTTGTTACTAATTTACACTAACTCATTTGAATACAGTGGGTATACAGACCATCTGTATGCCTGGTTTGAGGCCGCTGGCGTGGCTTCACATGAAGCTTAGCTCAGATCTGCTTTCAGTCATGTTGGATGAGTGACCGTCACCTCTGTCTCAGCATTTGTACAGGAAATGGAATAAACTAATCTCGTATACACGACATATATATACATATATATACACTGTTTTCAAAAGTTTGGGTTCAGTAAAATTAAAATACTTTTTTTTCCAGCAAGAATGCATTAAATTGATTAAAAGTGACGGTTAGACTTTCACATTGTTACGGAAAATTTCTATTTCAAATAAGTGCCGTTTTTTTTAATTTCTATTCATCAAAGAATCTTGAAAAAATAACGTATCATGGTTTTTAAGCAATAAAACTGTTCAACATTAATAAGGAAAAATAAATATATAATAATTAATAAGAAATGTTGCTTGTGCATCAAATCAGAAAAGTGACGCTGAAGACTGAAAATTCACTTTTGTGATCACAAGAATAAATTACAAAGGAAATGGAATGAACAGACTAATCTCGTATACACACACATGCACACGTACTACAACCTCTCTAACATGCCTCATATTCTTGCCGCTCCATTCTCATCATGTTGTCTTGCACGCTTCACAGTCTCGCCTCAAGAAGCCCAGCCCACGCCGCTGGAATCTCAACGGTTCTCACATGGCTAAAGTAAGAAGGACAGAAAATGTCCCCTCTAAAGTCTAACTAGGTCTAGTTCATATATTCTAATCCCACTGTCCCTGTACCACCTTTAGACTAAACCACCATTAGTCAGAAAACTAGGTCTGCAGACAAGAAACATCTCATCCTTCTCTTGTCCTTTCTGTTCACTGCACCAAAAAAACCGTAATCATTAATTGTCCTTTTTCTATTTGAAATATCAAAACATTACATTCTTTGACCAAGACACAGTAAAAAAACAAACATTATATATATGTATATGATATATATCTATGATATACATATATTTCATAGAAATTAGTATTTAGTTTATTAGTATTTATCCTACTGTTCAACATTAATAAGGAAAAATAAATATATAATAATTAATAAGAAATGTTGCTTGTGCATCAAATCAGAAAAGTGACGCTGAAGACTGAAAATTCACTTTTGTGATCACAAGAATAAATTACATTTTAAAATATATTAAAGTAGAAAACACTAATTGTAATAATATTTCACAGTAATACCATTTTACAGTTTTTTTTATCAAATAAATTCAGCCTTATTGAGCATACGACTTTTTAAAAAAAATATTTGAAAAACTTTTTGACCAAACTTTCGACAACAAAATATCTCAAATTAGAATCTAAACTCTTTAAAGGACAGTCTCATACATATTAAAAACACATCAACTCTAACCCATTTTCCAGACACATTTAATATGACTATCCACATAACATTTTATAGATCTCATAACTTTTTTTTTTTTTGAGTAATAGGGTTTGTCTCACTCTGTCTATACTAGTGTGGTTATTTTTGTAGAAAACTGCAGGAAAATCTACACAGACAGATAGCAAACTCTGTCGCAGGACGTCCCGTATTCCACAGGTATTGTTTCTGCCCCTGAATAACCTCTAGATTTCATTTCCAAAATAGAGTTAATCTTTAATGTATCAAAGTATTTCTGGAATAGTACTGATACATTTTAGGATTATGGAGTGCTTTCATATATAAAAAGAGTGACACTGTATTATATAGCTGGAGTAATGAGGTTCAGTGATGACTACCCTGAATTGATGATCTTCTTAAAATATTCAATATTTTAACATACATTATTAGATAACGCTCTTCCTGAAATAGTCTCACAGACACATTTCACATGCTGCCTCAGCACATTCTCCATGACGTGCTCTTTATTTTACCTTTTCATTAGCAGTAATTTATCCTTCATGGAAATACATGCACAGCTGCTCTGCAGATAACAGGAATACATCACAACCCCATGCTGTACTGAACTCTGTCTTGTCAATATTCGTTTTTAAAGCTTTTGTTTCTCATTTGCATTTAGAGTTATTCCTCTGCCTCATTTCTCCCCCTCTGCTGACTGTGTTTATGATTGGTGGTGACAAACATGCTGTTTTCTTGGGCTGGATCACACATTCAGGGAGAGTGTAGATTAGGTTATGCAGTGAGTGCCAAGACTCAGATCTAGACTATGTTTAATGTACAGTATGTGGTCATAGGAGATCTGAGATCAACACTCCAACTCTAAATATGACAGAGCACCATTTCAACTTTTTGTATTAGGTTTTAATTTCAGTTTGTACCTCCCATATGACTACAGGTGCATCTCAATAAATTAGAATGTCGTGGAAAAGTTCATTTATTTCAGTAATTTCTGGACAACTGTCAGATCAGCAGTCTTCCCCATGATTGTGTAGCCTAGTGAACCAAACTGAGAGACCATTTTGAAGGCTCAGGAAACCTTTGCAGGTGTTTTGAGTTGATTAGCTGATTGGCATGTCACCATATTCTAATTTGTTGAGATAGTGAATTGGTGGGTTTTTGTTAAATGTGAGCCAAAATCATCACAATTAAAAGAACCAAAGACGTAAACTACTTCAGTCTGTGTGCATTGAATTTATTTAATACACGAGTTTCACAATTTGAGTTGAATTACTGAAATAAATGAACTTTTCCACGACATTCTAATTTATTGAGATGCACCTGTATATGCCTCGTCCATGAACTGAGTGCATTCCAATAATGCAGTAAATGGTATTAGGCATAAATTCTCCTTGCAGACCAAACATGTGGTGGGCATTCTGTATTTGCACCCTAACACATGGCCCCCTACCTTGTATAAGAGTCAAAGTCAATTAATCTCCTAAGCCAGCTCTGTCAGGAAGAATTAATCAGCTTTAATCAGCAAGTGGGTTTAAGGGCTAAACATGATGATTATTCAGTAACCACAACCCATCACTGGCTATAAAGAGGCCTTATGAAAACAGTTGCTTTCTGAAAATGGTACATGTGAATATTCAGAAGTTAGTTATTAAATTACAGTCCATTTACTGACAGTACATCTGTGCTTTTGTTTGTGCCTTTGAAGCAGATATTCATAAAACGTGTCTGTCTTTTCCTGTAGGATGTATGCAAATAGTGTGTTTTGTATGGTCTTTTACGGTCTTTTGTTGTAGATGGTTGCGTTAAGGGTATTTTAGGATACAGTCTTTTTTCATGCACTTTATTTAATCTCCGAAAACTAACATAAGGATCAACCTGTACTCCTGCAGTCCTCATCTGACACAGCATTCCCTCTCTGATCCGGTCACAGCCGCAAACCTTTCATGACAAACAGCTTTTCACACCCATCTCACATTGCGGATTGTCAGTCATAACATTCCAGCAGGCCAGTCGCAAACTGCTGGAGGCTTTTGAACCCAAACTAAGAGCCTGCTCTCCATGGCATTATGGCTTTGCTGAGTAGAACCTGTAGATGATGTGCTGCCTCCCTCCAAGATGTGTAAAGTGAATGTTGTTCTACAGAAAAAAACTCACAGGTTTTTCATGGTTTCTCCACAACTCTCTCCTCTGCAGCAGAGAGAAACGGCCTCACCAGGGGACAGCGGGGTTTCGAAGAGCTCCCTCTATTCACGAACAGGATACATTGAAGGGGAAAGCCCTCATCTGCCACGTGACATGGACCACTCTCTTGGCATTGCCCGAGAAGAGGTATATACTCACCCATTGCATGATGCCACACCACAAAAAAAAGAAAAAGAAAAAGTATCTTAACCTGTATCTTAGCCTTGTCATTTCACATTTTGTGAAAATGTAACTTAAGGTAAATCTGTAAATGTAAATAAAGTGGTTAAAGCCCTGGGTTAGGTAATATTTAATATTTAATTTTGAAGGGGTGGTTAACGCCACTTTTAATTCTGGGTTCTGAAACCCTGCATTTGCAGTGCCAAAATGACAACCAATCATAAAAGGCTGCAATGCACACATTGTTAAATTTTCACAAACTCTGGACAATCAGAGAAACGTTCCCATGCTGTGTTAATTTTCAGTATCGGAGGAAAGTTCAAAATGTTGATATACTGGAGTGATGAGAGAGTATTTTTCTTCTGTATTTCAGAAGATTTAAAGTCAACATGAAATGAGATTACTCACTTTCTCATATTTCAATTTTCTGATGAAATGAAAGACTTCTCCAATGATTTGGTCTGCTTAAACCCCTTCCCTTTCTTATGACTGACTGCAAGCTCGCACTCATTATTGATTGCAACGCCCACATCTCAAAATCCAATCAACAACCGAGTGATAGAACCAAGTCTATGCCTTAAATTTGGTCTTTTTCAATAAACTGTTTTGCTCAGATGTACATCACAAGAAAAGATCTGTCACTACTTCCATTTCATCGCTATAATATTATAATATTACCCTCATAAATATGCAAATACTACGAATTTTTACAGTGCGAAACATGGCAAAGGACATCCCAGATTTGCATGAATCCAGAATGACACTGGTTTAACAATTTCCAGGGTGTAAAGTGTGTGAAGTAACGCTCTTCTTATTTCAGATTGTTGTGAAAGAGAAAGAAGCCATGGAGTGGAAGAGAAAATATGAAGAGAGTAGACGGGAAGTGGAGGAGATGAGGTGGGTGTTCTCAAAGGACAGAAATTCCTGTGCCCTTGTGAGCTATGACGAGTGACGCTTTTCCCCATTTCTCCCCACTTTTCCCATCACTTAATGTCCTCTCTATAAACTTCAAATCAATAAAACTGTCAGAAATGTTCATTCACTACATATGTTTCTTAGCTTACAGTATATGACACACCTGACAAATCCACCTCTCAATCTGTTTATCTCTTTCCTACGTTTTTTTTTTTTTAAGTCGAGCGTAAGCAGAAAGCCAATTAAAGAGGGCCTTAACATGTCAGATGTGACAGAGCTGGAGGCAGGAAAAGGGAGGGAATAGACGAAAGATTTGTTTTCACCCATCCAGAAAACTCATGAAACACTATTTTCTTGACACAAAATTAAATGCCATTTTAAGGTGTTTTATATTAGATTCTGCTTTACAATCTCCTAACTAAGGGTTCAAATCAAGTGACAGTTTTATAGATGTTTAGCATTTTTTAAGTATTTGTCACCTCACTGCACTTTTAATAAAAATTGTTGCAGTGTTGTCTAATTCAGAAGACAGTTGACTGAACCAGGACATGTTTTAAAGCTGTCCTTTTGTATTCAAGGGGCAAAGTGAACAAGGTAATCAGGAAGGGTTGCGGATTACAGCCAGCTGGACTAGGCCTTGTTAGTGTGGATAAGAATGGGGCTTAGATCATTAGCCTGATTGGGCTCAGGATAAGGAAGGCCTAAGAGGCTAAGGAAGACATAGCTAATCCATCCGCTTACTGTGCCGGCAACCTGCTTTTCTCCCAAGCAAGTCTTTCTGCCAGCTGAACTCTTGTAGTCAAACACATGACATAACAAATGCCAGTTTCCTGACCTTTCATGTAATCAAGCTTATTCAGAATTTCATTGTGATTGTCACCTCAGAATGCACTGTTCTATTAGTTTACATTTGCATTATCAACCAGTCCTGACATCTGGCACAGAGCGGATCTTGCTGTCTGCGTGCAAACAGATAAATACTCTAACTTGGATTGTTTGGCTTCCAATTTGGGACACTTTCAAATGCGGGTCTAAATCCTGTTTACACCTGGTATTAAGATCCGTCTGTGGTGATCCGATCACAAATGGTCAGCCAAGATACATACTGTAGCTAGCGGTAACGTGTGTCAAATGCGCCTACTGTGATCACTTGTGATTGGATTTCGAAGGGAGGGTCTCTGACTTCGTGAGTACGTGCATCACTTGCTGCGTCAGTGTGTTACTGCATGTTGGTAAATTAAAAAAAAAGGAAATAAAAAAGCAAAGGAATGATCTGACAAATGACCTGATAATTTATTTTAGAGATGAAGTCAATCCGTATTTTCTATTCAACTACCACAGTATGTGGTTCCAGTGATCAGATCACAAAACATTTTGGACCCTGCTTACACCTGTATTTAATGCTTACCACTTGTGATCAGATCATCTGAAACCAATCCAGGTGTAAATGGACAATAGGACATGTTTTTTTTTTTTAATGTTTTTGAGCCTACGTCTCTTATGCTTAACAGACTTCATTTATCTGATGAAAATATTGTAAAACAGTAAATTGTCAAATATTTTTTTTGTAACAATGTAAAAGTCTTTACTGTCACTTTAGATCTTAAAAAGATCTGATCTGATCAGATCTTGCAGTATATATGCACCTTATTTGTTTGGTAACTTGATTTTTGCTTATTCTTTACAGGAGGATAGTTATGGAGTATGAGAAGACTATTGCAGAGATGATTGGTGAGTCTTGATTGCTAAATATGATTTCATCTTCTCCTGGGGATTTTCAATCTATGTGTTTTGTGAACACTGTCAGGCACTTTTGGTTCTCTTTATCTGTGCTTTTCCTCTGCTACACTGCTATAAATGAACAGGCACAAACCTTACCCAGTCACGCCACACCAACACACATATGCAATAAGTTTTTGTTACTTTCTCATTTAATTTGCAGACAAATCTTTCGTGCCTCTGGACCCAAACACTGGTCAGTTGCAAGCACAAGCCTTCATGTCTCCTTTTACATTCCACTTGACTTGACCTCAAAAAACATAAACATGTTTCTACTCAAAACATATCTCTTACCAGGCCTCACCCACTGACAGATTAATCTGATTTCTTTGCCTGTCCAGTATTTACATCCATGTGCTGGATGTGCTGTGTGCGTTCTTACATTTTCAGATTGTTATACTGAGTGTCTGGTTTAACCTTGTCACGCTTTTCTCTCTTTGTACAAAGAAAAACCTTTTTTCATTCCCTTTTTATGTTCTTAATGATAAAATACCATACTTGACATTCCGCTTCCCAGCTGTCGGTCATTTATTTTCACTTTATTTTGTGTCTTTGCTTATAATTTCTTTTTCCATGGTTCATTTTCTCGGCCACTTTTCTGGCTCTCACCACCTACTTAATTTTATTCTATGACACTTCCATTAATTTTAAAATTTGTCTATGTTTCTGACACGCTTTTCTCTCTCACATGTCCCACCCTGCTGGCTTGACTTAATGCCGTCCCTTTTTTCTGTTTTGCTCCCTCCGTCCCCCATAAATATTTGATAAATCACTCAGGTATGCCTGGTAAGTAACAGCAACTCTTTATTTTCTTTGTTTGTGTTGCATCCACCACATCTGACAGTGACAGACAGGGAGAGTTTTCTCTTACTATAACCTGATACGGTCTATCTCTCATTTTAGTATCATCTGGTTTTGCACTGCTGGTCTTTTTTATAGACCTTTTCTCAAACATCTTCCATTACCAGCTCAAAAGTGTTCAGGAAACTACTCTGATACTGTAACTTTCCAAATAAGCTCATCATAATGTAAAGTCGCCAAAATACTATTAAGTACACTCAAGCTAGAAAAAAGTAGCTACAACAGTAAAGTTTATTTTTTATTATCACTGTTGCTTATAAAAATAGCTTAATATTTTTTTGTGGAAACCATGATGCATTTTTTTTTCAAGATTGTTTGATGAATACAAAGTTCAAAAGGACAGATTTTTTTTTTAAATAGAAATCTTTTGTCAATTTACTAAATCCTTGCTGAATAAAAGTATTGGTTTCTTAAAAAAAAAAACGTTTTAACCGGTAGCGTACATTTAAACTAAAGTAATAAAACTAGAATAAAACGTATATACCGGTAATTGATTAGAAACAGTTCATTAAAATGATCCGTTCAGCAGATTTTCTACAATTAAATAAAATTTGTGACTATTTATATTTACTTTTGTGACTATTTACTTTTTATAAAAACGAATTAAGAGGTGCTGAGTAAGTCTTTCAAAGGTCTTCTCATCTCACCATGTCTCCGTGGTTTGGACATGTTTGAGTGTGTGTGTGTATGTGTGTGTTGTCTGCATGCATCATACAGATGCAGCGTCGAAAACTGCATTTTCATTTGTCATTATCAGCGATTTAGACATAGTGGTGTAGAGAATAATTTAATATCTGAAGTACCCAGAGGAGCATAAAATCAACCTCCGCTGCATCCAAAAGCAGATTTGCACATCAATTTGATTGTATTGTGTGTTGTCTATTGTATATCTAGTGTAATATGAACTTAATGCATTTATGTTTTTGTGTGTATGTCTCAGAGGGTGAACAGAGAGAGAAGACTCTATCTCATCACACTATCCAGCAGTTGATCCTGGAGAAGGACCAGGCTTTGGCTGATCTCAACTCCGTGGAGAAATCTCTCGCTGACTTGTTCCGTCGCTATGAAAAGATGAAAGATGTTTTGGAAGGCTTTCGGAAGGTGAGTCACTTCGCACTGAAATTGATAAAGGTTGAAATCATTGTGAATTTCCATTCGCAGCTCAGTAATTTGATGTAATTCTAAGATAAATGGAATATTCAGTGAGAAAAATGTAGGTTGGGGCTTGATTGTTATTGATTGTGGATGTTGCATACAAAAATTAAATAATATTACAACTATTAAAACTATTAGGCTGTAGGTTAAAATTATTTAATAGCTTTTGCTCATTTACTATATTCCTTTTTTTTCTTCAGAATGAGGATGTGCTGAAGAAATGTGCGCAGGAGTACCTGTCTCGTGTCCGTAAGGAGGAGCAGCGCTACCAGGCCTTGAAGATCCATGCTGAGGAGAAACTGGATAAGTACGTACAGAACTTTCACATGCATATGTTTTTAATATGCTTTGCTTTGTACAAGGTTTCTTTTGCCCGGAACAACAACTGTTAGGCGAATTAAGGGTTAGACTTGCACTGTGCGAGAGTTCTTAGAAATATGAAATGATGGCATGACTCTGACCATGTGGCACCCGCAGGGCGAATGCTGAAATCGCTCAGGTGAGAGTCAAAGCCAAGCAGGAGCAGGCAGCGTATCAGGCCAGTCTGAGGAAAGAACAGATGAAGGTGGACTCACTGGAGCGCACACTGGAACAAAAGGTTTGCTCACACTTGCAAATCCACATGCACATCTGTTAAAGTCATTTTGTTGTTGTTAAAACATTTAGTTAATTTTTAAGTACAGCAAACAATTATTTCATTTAATTAAATATATGTTATTTATGGCTGTATATACTACCAGTGAAAGTTATGGAATAAATACGATTTTGTAAATGTTGCTGAAAAGTCTTTTATGCTTAACAAGGCTCCATTTATTTGATCAAAGTAAACAGTAATATTATAACTTTATAATGATTTTATATTTTAATTTTTTAATTTGAACTTGTTCCTATGATGGCAATTCTAAATCTATGTGTGTATATATATATAAGAAATACTTTTACTCAGTACTGACTTTACTGTTACTTTAGATAAATTTAATGCATCAACACAGACTGTTTATATATATATATATATATATATATATATATAAACATGTTCTTTAAACATCCTGAAAAAAGTATTATGGTTTCCACAAAAGTATTAAACAGCACAACACAGATAATAGTAAAAAAATATTTCATAATAAAATGATTTCTGAAGGATAATGTGGCAATGAAGACTGGAGTAATGGCTGCTCAAAATTTAGCTTTGCCATCTCAGGAATAAATTACATTTTAAAATATATTAGTATAGAAAGTTGATTTTTTAAATTAAAATATTTCACAATTTTACTGTATTTTTGATCAACATATTGTAAGAAACATCTTTCATATTTTAAAAAATCAACAACATTCAGAGGTTAACATGAGTTTTTGGATTCTGTTTATAGAATAAAGAGATTGAAGAACTGACCAAAATTTGTGATGAACTGATTGCCAAGATGGGAAAGAGCTAGCCGTCCATTCGACAGAGTTCTGTCTGTACCACAAAGGGACAAAAGAACAATAACTGGACAAGAGTGTAAAGATGGAGGAGCAAGGTGAAATTGTTCCGGTATTGTTTTTTCCTCTTTCTAATGGACAGAACAATGAACTAACCAAACAAAAGGATCTCACACTACTGACGTCTTCACATAAAACTGGAGTCCCTAGGACTGGCAGAACACTAGTTTCTGGCTGTAATTATTTTCTCTTCATTTTAATATGTTAATGTACACCACCTTACCAATGTTGAGGGTCTTGTGAAAGTACTCCCCATCAGTAGAGACTTTTTTGAGAGTCTGTATAGTACACACACACGCAGAGAGTATGTGTTTATAGTGAGTCTGAGGTTATGAGTGCTGTTGCCATGACAACCACTGATGGAGCCGACTGTTAAACTGATTCCTGTGGTTCCCTCTTCTTAAGTTGAAAACAGAAATGACCAGAGAGAATATATATACTATAAAACAGATGAATTAATCATTCAGTTGTCACAAAGTGGTATTCATGATCATAAAAAAATGCATGTTGTTGGCCTTGACGGTTTTGTAAATATGAAAATGACTTGAAAATAGTAAAGGAACATAACTGCAGATTTTGATACTGTTAGTTTATCTGCTTCCTTGTGTATCTTTGTAGATACTTGTTGTTAATTTGTTTCGTTGTCTTCTAGCAACACTGATGTGTGATTTTATTTTTTGATTTATTTTGATATATGAATGAACCCACGTGTCACTGTCAGTGGTTCTGAGCTAATTTAATCTGAATGGTTTTGTCTCAGTCATGCTATAGCTGATGTTTCAGACATATGAAGCTCTGTCAGCTATACAGGACATGCTTACAAAGTGCAATAAAAGATGGCAATACAGCTTCTGTTTATCTGACCCATATCACACAGACACAGTCAATATGCAAAATGTAAAGGCTTGATGTTTGATGTAATAACAATCACATTTACTTATTAATTTAGCAGATGCTTTTAGCCTCCCACTAGGGCATTTTAAGAAAGCAATGTTAATGAACAAACAATGAATCTTGCTAACATGATCCTACGTATGTGCATAAAAAGATGCATTAGTTAGCTGACAGATGGGTCTTAAAATCACGCCAGACAGACTATATTAGTGCCAATTACATGCTTAGAGTGTACTGTATATATATAGAAAATAGGAAGTAGTTAGTGTTGGAAGAGTAATTATTAGAGTAATATATAATTATATGTTTATCTATTCATTCATTTGATATGGATTGAAGGTTTGATTTTTGGTTACCCTTACCACATGCACATATTCAAATAAGGAAACAAACAAATGAACGGTAAAAGTAGAATTTAAGAGAAAAAAAAATAGTGGAAGGAGGAAGAATTAAAACAACAGAAATGTTTTTGGAACAGAAATAATTTTATAGGTGGTGCTGCAAACATACTAACAAAATTATGTATGATTTGAGATCATTTTACTAAATACTATAATATACAGTAGTATAAAATGAAAGCAGTTTTACTATGTGTATAAAAATAGAATTGTATTATATGTAATAAAACAGCTTCCATTTGATTAATTTATCACTGAGAATGCAAACAAATGAGATTACATTTAGGAATATAAAAACAAATAAAAAATAAGTAGTTAATGTGGGAAAAATAACTACGAAAAAAAGAGGTAAATGGAAGAAACATAATTATAAGCAGATCTATTTATTAATTTAGGGTAAAGGTTTGGTTTTGGTTACCCTTATTCAGTTAGCCTCTGCATCGACTGTTTGATTGGTTGTGTCCACTGTTCTGCTGTGTCACAAAGAGAAATGATGTGAGTTTGGTCACTGATAAACTAATACGCTGTATGGAGGCATTAGTTGAATGAAATCTGGAGGGAGCATCAGACCCCCGGCTAGCATGCAGCACTGTATGGGTGGAGCACAGTAACCGATCCCTCATCTCTGATTAGTGGAGATGGTGAGGATCCATTCAGATTTTAAGACCGAAGCACAGGCCTCAGTGGACTGGCTGGTAATCTGTGTGTCCTCACTGCCGTTGGGTATTAGCTCTCCGAAAGCAGGGCTTAAGCTCAGGGGTTTTAAGAGCAAACAACCTGCTTTTCTCTGTGCTAACTTGACAGCCATAGACCACCGGCAACATGAGAGCGCTCCATTTCTTCATGCTGCTGGGCCTGGGCTTCATCCTCCTCGCTGCTCACAGTGAGTACTTCTCTCTTGTTGTTGTTTCTACTTTTTAACTCCTATCTCTTCTCAGTTACTGCATGTGTGCTACACTCACAAGTCTTGATTTGCTTTTCACTCAAGACTTCTCAGTCTGGTATTTTGGCTTTTTTCTTTGTCAGTTTCATCATTTTTATTTCATTTAGTTTCTCTGGTTTCCTCCTTTTGAGGTGTCCTCCTTATGACTGAGAATATCTTGTTGGCCTTGAGGAAGGTGTTAAAGGACTATCAGAAAATAATTGGTGCAATTCAATCCCTTAAACAGATTGAGGGCTAAAAGAGTTTGCATTTTTTTATTTTTATTAGATTGCTGGACCAAAAAAAAAGAGAATCTCTACCTGAAGTACATTACAGAAACAGCAGTGCATTAAATAGTAATGGTGTAAAACACAATTCAACAGCAAAACATTACTGTGAAAGCATCTGCTGTGAAATTTGAGAACCAAGTGCTAATTAAGTTTAGAAAAAGCAGTTGTTTATTTAATTACACATTGAAGCCAATACACTCTCAGAAAAAAAGGTACAAAAGTTGTCACTGGGGCGGTACCTTTTCAAAAGGCACACCTTTGTATCTAAAGAGTCCATATTGGTACCTTAAAGTGATATTAGTACCTAAAGTGTACATATTAGTACCTAAAATTGACAAAAGTGTACCTTTTGAAAAGGTACCGCCCCAGTGACAGCTTTTGTACCTTTTTTTCTGAGAGTGTACTAAATGCAAATGGGGGTAATTTAAGTAAAGCTAAGGAGCTAAATGAATTTATTACAGTCCAAAACTATTCAAATATATATTGACAAACAATAGCTAAAATATTTCCAATTAAACAACAAGTATGATTGTGCTATAGTACAGAACTGTCTGGATATAGTTGACAAAAAGCAGCTGAGGTCAGGCATAGAGAAACTGGAGACTGCTTGTTCTTTCTTGTTATGGATGATGTGTGCAGATGATGCATAACAACTTTATTTTTAACCTCTGTCGGAAGGTTGTTGGTGTGGGGAACAAAGGAGACAATAGCATTCATTCCAAACCAGTGATTTGTTTCAAATATTTATACATTTGATTTGTGTGTGTGTAGTTGAATAATACCTTTAGTGACTTATGTGACATCATGGATGAGTATACGATTCAACAGGGTGTTCTATACATTTCTTATATAAATGTTACTCCAAACATTCTGAAATATTAAATATGTACAGTCTTCAGTGTCACATGATAATCTAGAAATAATTATAATGATTTGCTGTTAAAAACATTTCTCGTTATTAGTGTTGGATCTCTGAGACCAACTCAATAGACGGGAAGTAACAGTTTATTGTCCATTTTAGGAGTTAAAGCATGCCGTTTTAGATAAAGGCTTTGAAAAAGAATGTGACCTTCACGCTGGTGTTATACTTTAAAAGTTTACCTAATTTCAAACAGCTTGAATAGCCTGCCTGTAAAATCATTTTGAGTCTATCCTGTGAACTGAAGGTTTAGCTATCAAAGAGAGTGACTCAGAAGCAGCAGAAGGATGTCTTTAGGGTGAACTAACAGTTCTAAGACACACATAGCAGATACTTTTAAAAGGAATGTCTGTTTCTGAAGGTGTTACAGTCATAGAGTTTATGTGTCTGATCTTGATGGATTGAACTTCAAAGGATGTTTGCTTAAAAAAAAAAAAAGCACTTTTTGGGAGATGATAGCAAAGAGGCACATGAAAAAGGCTTAACCACAACATGTACTGCTGGGCTTTTACAAGACACTGACATGTTTCTCTGCTGGGACTTCTGTTGACTTCCCTGGGGTCTGTTAAACGAAAGTGGAAAAAATGGGTAAAACGTCAGTGTTCTGTTTAGACTTCACAGACCAGTGAAGTTAAGATCAAGATTTGTAGATTATCTTTTAGGATCTTCTAAGATTAAAAAAAAATTTTTTTGTTATGTTGATAGCATATTTGTTGCTGTTTAAAGCTGCTTCATCATGGAAATAGAAACAGCGTGCATCATTATATGTGTGTCATTATGAAGTACAGTAACATTTTCCTGTCTCCACACTAGAAATGAAATGGCATAAAATACATCAAGCTTTGTTTAGTCAAATGCATTGGATGTTTGCAATTATTGTGTCACCGGTGAGACAAAGTAAAATTTGCTTTGATTGTTGGAGCCGTTGCATTGAGCCATGGTGCTCATCTGGACATGGAATATTTCCTTCCTTTCATTTAATCGTTTATGCATCCTCTTTAAAATCTGTGACAAAAAGGTCAAAAAAGAGGCAAAATAAGTAAAAAAGATGAAAATAGAATAAATTGTGTGGAGGTATAATTTTTAATTATTGTTTTTCATCATGTTCATTTAAAAACATTAAAATAACATAAATCTATGTGACAAAAATTGCATAAAATATTATCATTTATTTTTTAGAGTATGTATCTGTTTTTTGTTTTTTATTTTTATTATTACTTTACCCTTACTGACAAATTTTTTTATTTTATTTATTGTTAATAATCATGTTTAATGCAAGAACGCACATTTTAATGCCCTGACTGAAAAAAAAAGAAAGAAATAGTAAAATAATAAACAAAATAGTGTATCATCATCATCATATTGATACTACTACTACTAATAATAATTAATAGATTTTATTCTCAAGTAACTTCATTATTATGTTTTATTTTTACTGGAAAACAAGACAAAATTAAGAAAAACAATAAATATTAATTGGTCTACTTACACTTTAGGCCTTTTTTGAGGAATTTTAATGTTGAATTACTTTTGCCTCTTTGTCTGTATTTAGGTGAGGCACTGAAGTGTTACACCTGCATGGGCTCTACAGATGAAGACTGTAATCGCCAAGGATCCAAAACATGTCCGAGCTACTCAGATGCATGTGCTGTTGTCCGTGGTTCTGTTTAAACTTCACAGACCAGTGAAGTTAAGATCAAGATTTGTAGATTATCTTTTAGGATCTTCTAAGATTAAAAAAATTTTTTTTTGTTATGTTGATAGCATATTTGTTGCTGTTTAAAGCTGCTTCATCATGGAAATAGAAACAGCGTGCATCATTATATGTGTGTCATTATGAAGTACAGTAACATTTTCCTGTCTCCACACTAGAAATGAAATGGCATAAAATACATCAAGCTTTGTTTAGTCAAATGCATTGGATGTTTGCAATTATTGTGTCACCGGTGAGACAAAGTAAAATTTGCTTTGATTGTTGGAGCCGTTGCATTGAGCCATGGTGCTCATCTGGACATGGAATATTTCCTTCCTTTCATTTAATCGTTTATGCATCCTCTTTAAAATCTGTGACAAAAAGGTCAAAAAAGAGGCAAAATAAGTAAAAAAGATGAAAATAGAATAAATTGTGTGGAGGTATAATTTTTAATTATTGTTTTTCATCATGTTCATTTAAAAACATTAAAATAACATAAATCTATGTGACAAAAATTGCATAAAATATTATCATTTATTTTTTAGAGTATGTATCTGTTTTTTGTTTTTTATTTTTATTATTACTTTACCCTTACTGACAAATTTTTTTATTTTATTTATTGTTAATAATCATGTTTAATGCAAGAACGCACATTTTAATGCCCTGACTGAAAAAAAAAGAAAGAAATAGTAAAATAATAAACAAAATAGTGTATCATCATCATCATATTG